TAATGGACTGTAGTAAAATGAGTATGTGCAAATAGCCAGTCTGGCTGTAATGGATGACACTAGCTAAACTTCAAACACAAAGTTCACTGTTAATGTAAAAGGATAGTGTGAATATTTTGGTGTTGATTAATGGGATGCAGAAAAGAAAATGTGCACAATGCAATTCTGGCTGGTGTAAATCTTGTCATAAAACACAGTAAATCTGTCTGCAGAGGAGGGGAAACCTTTCATAAATATGCATGGCACTGGGCAGAGTCAGTAACAGGCAAAATGAAATAAGTGAGGTGCAAATCTTCTTATTAGAGTACAATATATCTGCCTTCAGTTGAGTACAATACTGAGCTTTAAATATATAATACATAACTGACAAGGAGTGGCATTTGAATATTTTAGCATAGCAACAAAAAACCTTGACTTCCTTGATCTGTTGGATCGCAGACAGTTAATGGGGGCAGATATAATGACGTTTTTGCTATGTTTTAAAAAGGATGTGCCAATGCCTACTATGAACTGGAAGAAAAACATTCAACTCAGTGCACAGTAAAGAACATCGCTATGCTTACTAAATGCAAGTTGTTCACATCATTTTACTGTGATTTATTTGTCAGAATTAAATAACCTTCTCTTGATAGAATGACAATTAATGGTGGGAAAAGGTAATATCCATACTTTACTGTAACCTGCTTAGCAACAGCGAATATATTGAATAATGATGTAAATACATCAAAATGGGTATAATGCTGATCATAATTAAGTTTATAGGTATTTTACTTGGACTTCAGATTATGTGTAACCAGTAATTTTGTTTTTTGGTACTTGCTAACAGGCTAACCAAGGCTAATGGTGAGCTGTCCTCTTACCCCAAATCTAATTGGGATTGTAATCATGCTGGTGTCTAACAACTGAAATACAACAATGTGTATGTGATGATTCGTTTGGGACAAAATACATTAGCACACACAACAGCAGATGCAACAGAAATCTGAAGTCTTAATAGAGTTGGATCAAGAAAATATTCCTGCTAAGAGGAGGCAATGTCAAAAGTAACTATCCTGTCCAAAAGTTTGTTTCCAAGAGCAGTATAGAACATAGCATGGCACTGCAGAAAATGTGATTACCATAATAAATGTATTTTGTGCAACATGAAAGCTGCAACTTGCAACATGAGATATATTGTGCGAATGAGCCATGCATGCGTTTGCATGAACCATGTGGGGCAAATGTACCTAAAAATTGGTGAAGGACAATCATTTGTGAACCTTGAAGATGCCACCATTTTTGTAATCTGCGTGTTTGCTCACAAATCACTTTTGTGAAACAGGCCCCGGAGTTCAGACAGCCACAAATTTTAATATTCATAAGAAGCAGACCAGAAAAATGACTATTTGTCTGGTGTCTATCCAAGGGCAAAACCCACTGTAAGGACGTTTCATCAGTTGTTTGTTGAAAAGCCTAAATACAACATATGTTTACGTTAACCTGACAAGGACCTTTAGCGACCATGTGAAGTGGGATTCCTGTCTGTCAGGAGCAAAGGCGGAAATAGCGCGATGTTGTTTTAGAGCCACAGAGTTCTAAACCCAAAACATGATCTTTCCCTAACCTCATCCAGGTAGTTATTCTTTCGGCCGCGAGGATGAAGGTTCCCTAACCATTATGAGGTTGCTGTTTTTAACCCAAATTATGATCTTTTTCTACCAATCAATACTTACTTAATCATAGCAGTGGCAGATCAGGAATAGACCATGTGAAAAGTTTTTGGATAGTCATCCTGTCAATCAGAAAACACTAACTGGTGTGATTTATAAAGGCGATGAGGTGCAACATATTAGTTTGGAGGACTTGTTGAATTTAAGTGGTCAAAATCAGAATGGGACTAACTATAAAGGAAGGCTGACATATTAAATCAAATTCGCTCATTGAAGTAAATTTGCACTCATGAGGAATCCAATCAGGAATGAAACGGTCGCAACACAGTCCATCATATGAAGCGCCTGTATGCTAATCCTTCTATGGCGGGGTGTTGATGGTGAGAGGGAACACTGGCCGGATTTCACTGCTGTTCACTTAGTGACATAAATCTCACACAAATCTCGTTGGGGTATAGGGGGCCTGAATCTCTGTCGAAAACGCAGCAGATCCGTCTAACACCGGAGGACAACAGCCAGCTTCATAAATATGGAGGGCAGAGTGTTGAGGAGCGGGAAAGAGTATGAATATTTTACCGAGCTGGGGCCAGTGGGAGACTGACGGTGAGGCTGGCCACAGAGAGAGTACAGCTGGTTGCTTCAGTGTTATATAACACACACACAAACAGATGGACACACACATCACAAATGGACTCTGGTATACAAACTGAAAACATACACAGGGGGGCACACACATGGTTATACTGTTCATGACAGCAGGAAGCACACACACACACACACAGGCAGCAATGAACACATAAACACCAAGTGACATAAATTAACACAGACGACAGAAAAGATGAATGGCCACACACACATGCTCACTGGTCTCTTTCTCACACACATGCACACGCTCGTTGCTGTCGTCCACCCACGACTGCATTCATCCATCTTATTTTTATCATACGCAAGATGCCAGCTCGTCTGAGACAATAACGTGCTTAATACACACATAAACACTCTCACACGTGCAGTATAAAGATGTGGAAGTGGAGAAAAAAAAGGGAGAAGAGATGGAGAAAGATGTAGCAGGCGACATACTGTACTGTATAAGCTGTAGCTACACATTGTATATACACAGAGAAGAAGTAAAACAGGTATCCATAACGCTCTATTTTAGGATTTTGTTTTGTACTGTTTTAAGGATGAGTTCGGTTCGATACTATATTTTATTATTGTCAACAGATCCCCTGAAAAAACGAAAACCAATGATGAATTGATCCCGCTAGTAGCTTGTGAAGCCAAAGCCTGGCACGGCATTCATTCTCTAATTCGCATTCATTCTTCTGTGCCATAGACCTCTTTTATCTAAAGACTATTAAAAACACATAAATGCAGGCGATTATTTCTTTCCCCCAAGGTTGTGGATGATTCACAATTTTAATCAACTACTTTCTGAAACCAAAACGTGACTGACCACTTCTAATGCTACCGTGCATATTGTCACAAAGAGCCATAAAAAGCAGAGTACAGACGATTAGTGCAGACAGCACAGAACCTGAAAGTCTGCTCACTAACTCACCTGCTCCAACTGACAGGACATCAGCCTGATATCTACAGACAGCTGGCTATCTACCCAGCTGAGAGGCAGGAGCAGACTGAAGAAGTACGTAGGTAGAATCTGCACACTGTCAATTCACCTCTCAAGATATTATCTTGTCAACAAATACGGTGAGCACAAATAAGGTGAAGTGTTACCGCTAGATTCCCAATAAGTAAGTCAGAGCCTTCTGGCATGTGATGTGAATAGTTATACTATCAGCCACAGTGTGTACAACTATCACGACCAGAGGCAGCTAATGTAGCCAGATATCATCTAAACAACTGTCCGACATTGTAATAACTCAATAAATCAACGCTGTATACGTTGTGCAAAAAACAAAAATTGATTTAATTGAGACCCATTCAGAAGCCTCATTATCAAATCCTATGTGCACTGTCCCAATACTATCAATAGTATCTACAGCATCAATTGTGTATTAATCCACAGATTAAAGTAGACAAATAAAAAAAAATTTACTGTTTACCCATCCATCCATCCATCCATGCATCCATCCATCCATCGTCAACCGCTTATCCTGCGTACAGGGTCACAGGGGGCTGGAGCCAATCCCAGCTGACATCAGGCGAAAGCCGGGCTACACCCTGGACAGGTCGCCAGTCCATTGCAGGGCTGTTTGATTAATGTTTATAAAAAACTACAATGGCCAGAAGTTTTGGCCAATTACTGAAACTATAAAGACCTGTCTTTAAAGATTTTCATTATCAGCGGGAGACGATGGGCTTGGGGCTGAGTGCCACAGGTTAGGGAAGTATTAAGAGATAGACGAACACTTTGTTGAATTTAATTGTTTCATGGAATTTTTCAACAGTAAGAAAAATTAATCCAGCATCCTCCTTTAAAGTTGAAGATAATCAGCATAATCTAAACACACAATGTGTTAAGACATTCATTTGTTAATTCATTCACCTTAGGTGTTTGTTAAAACTTGTCGTGCCATTCATGGTTCATTCAACTAAAAACCCACAGTGATCGTTTTAATGGAAGAGCTGGGCAAAGGGCGAGACAGCATGAGTCACACTGACAGAAAGAGAGAAAGACAACTAGCAGAGAGCAAAAGCAAGAGAGACAGTGTTACCTGAGAACAAATGGAAACCCTAGTTCCCTTGAGTGCTAATTTGCATAAACACACACACACACAACAAACAAGAGGTTGATATTAAAATGAGAATGACGGCGTTCCACCTTAAAAAACAAAAACAAGGCAGAGTTACAACCACTGACTACTAAGTAAAATGTAAACAGATGTCTTTGAATGCCTCTTTCTACACACAAACATTGCAGACATATAACCCTCAGTCGACACACACACACAATCACATATATCAACAGTGTTCATCCTGTCCAATACACAAAATCCCAAATTCTACCTTAAATAACAACGCTGCAAGGTGAATCCAATACACACCATCAACAGTGTCCCCATGAGCTTACATGCACACACACCCTTCAGTACAATATAAACACCAGGTAGCAAGGGAAATTAAAACGCACACTGCATTTCTGCATGCTAACACACACACACACACACATTAACCTTTAAGGCGTCCAACACACACCCATATCAACGCAGTCCAGCGCCACACACGCATGTAAACACTTTCCCACCCGCCTCCGCTTCTGCCTCCACACCTTTCCCACCCACTCAAACACAGCACCCACACACACACACACACACACACACAACACACACACACACTGCTTCCATCCATTCAGTGCTCCCCTCTCTCTTCCTCTCCATCCATCCTTACCTTGCAGCAGGCTCTGGAGGTTGAGCTGCGCCTGCTGGTGCAGCTCCTCGACACACTCCGGCCTGCTCCACGAGCCGAACACGTTCACGCTCTGTTGCCATGGAGACCTGAAGTGGGCCGCGCCGCTGCTGCTGCTGCTACCTCCACCTCCGCCGGCGCTGCTGCTATGGTTGCCGTCGTTGTGGCTGCTGATGCTGCTGCTGCCGCCGCGCCTGCCGCTCTCCGCCTCTAGACCGCTGGTGGCTGGAGGGAGAGGGAGGAAAGAGAGAGAGAAGATGGAGGGAAAATGTTGAGGAAGTGATGGACGGAGGGAGGAGAGAGGGGAGGGTATGAGAGGGATGGAAATAAGATTATTGAGAGCGAGTTGGGAAAAAAAGAAGGAGAAAAATAGAGGAGAGAAAGGGAAGAAGAAGGACATGAGAGGCAAGGAGGGAAGGAAGAAAAGGGGCAACAAGGTGGATGGCGAGAGAGGGGATGAAAGAGAGAAAGGAGGGAAGAACGTAAAAAGGTGGAGAGAAAGGAGGAGGGGAGGGGGACAAAAGAGAAGAATGATTAGGGGAGTGAGTTAAGAAATTAGATGTGGAAGATTTGGGGGAAATGGAAAAAAGAGAGGGATAGAGAAGGTGAAAAGAAGGGATGGGAGAGGAGGAAGAGAGAGAAAAAAATCACACGTAAATAAAAATGTATGAATTTGCATAACTAATACCCAGAGACGTAGATTACATAATGCAGTGTGTTGTCAGGGAGAACAAGGACTGAGGAAGGAAGGAGGGAGGGAAGGAGGGAGGGTGAAAAAAAGAAACAGGGATTAGAGAGAAAATGAGGGAGGGATGGACTGGGAGAGAGGTAGAGAACAGATTTGGAGGGGAATCAGAGAGAGGGAGCACTTAATTAGGAGGGGAAAAGAGTGGGAGGAAGATAGAGGGAAAGTCATGGGAGGAGATAGAGGGAGGGAGGTAGGGAGAGAAGGAGGGATTAGGGCAGGGAGGTATGACAGGAGAAAAAAGAGACAAATTGTGATTGTGGCAGTAGGGAGAGAAAGAAGAACAAGAGAAGGAGGAGGAGGGAAAGGGCGATGACATTTAAAGGGAGGAGAACAGAGGAATGAAGGCAGAAAGGAGGGAGTTTGTGTGATTTAAAAAAAAGGGGGGGGGAGGATTAAGAAAAAGGGAAGGAAATGTTGGCCCCTGTCACTATCAAACCTCCAACACAAACAGACAATCAAAACAAATCATCCCGAGCGATCGCAAATGGCCATTCAACGTCGACATGAATGAGGCGCTGCCTTGAATCAGCGGTGATGAAATAATTTGACACTTCCAGCAGCTGATAAAACATGACTAACAAACACAGGAAATCCCAAATGTGACAGCGGTCGCTGTCCAACTGAGCTGTCAGGCGTTTTGAAAGAAACGCACAAACTTTCTGAGCGAGAACACAAGACACTTAAATCATTCACATTATTAGTTCTGACGGTCACGTGGCCATGCAGTGTCAAGTGGGAGGTAGTGGAGTAAGTCAAGGTAACCAGCATTGCTTCTTGTGTGTCAGTTTATTCCCACTCACCAAGCTTACATTGATAATTAACAATCCCGCAAATTCACTAATTTAATATTGAAACTGAGCATCTTGTGTTCACCTAGCTGAACAGATTTAACAAAAAACTATAAATAGGACAACATTAGCTTCTATTTATTTACATGCCAAAAGCAGGAGTCTGTCATCAAAATCTACTTTAGGAGGCATCTTTCAGTTTTTGTGCACCATATTCTATATGTGGAACAAACTCCCAGAACTCCCTGTCACTTCTTTTAAATCAAAGCTGAAGATTTTTCTGTTTGCCGCTGCCTTTTTTATTAAATCAAATTTCAGGCTTTTGATTAATATCTTACACTGCATGGTAACTTTCACTCTCTACTGTTTTATCAAAAGCATCAAAATGTTTTTTTCATTGCCGGTGAAACAGTATGTTTCACTTAAATGTCACATCCCAAAAAAAAACAAAAACAAAACCAAGATTCTAATGTGCACGTAATTGTACTCACTAACAACTTCCAACTGCTTTGTACGTCAAACACACATGACTGTACAAGTAAAATTTAAACGAGTAAACCTGACTAAATTATCCATCTCTAGATATCATTCAAACGTGGTGTAAACCAGACATCATTACTTACTTACACCTCACTGTCTTTATATGATGGTATAATGAACCTTGTTATCTCTCAGGCTTCAGTTTATTTCATGTTTTTCTCCAGTGTAACATTAAAAGATCTTCCAAAGCACTTCGCAGATCACCGGTGACAAAGGCAGGATGATCTCCCCTTCGGCTAGGATTGATTTTCCTGTAACAGAAATGTCAATTCCTGCTACAGGAAATACAGTATTTGTCCATCTCAGAGTGTTCCTAAGACACTGACGCACCAACTACTGCTCAATAAACTGCTTTGGTTCCTCAGCTAAATACCAAAAACTCTAAATATACGGACTCCGACATGTGTGGGGGAAGTATCTCTGAGGGGAATGCATAGAAACTACTGAAAGAAACTACTGAAAAAAAAGTTTCAATTTTAAGAACACTCAGTTCCCAGCAGACGGACGTGCAGACAGTTACTCTGCAGTGGATCCGCCGGCACTATCACGTCTTGTTCGCTCTGAAGCAGCCGTCTCCTCTCACAAAACCCGCCGTACTGTATGGAATCACAATTTCACCCTCCCAGCTACCGGCTTCATCTTCCTAAGCTGCTTTCACAGAATCGGCTCCCACCAGAGAGAGCCACTGTTTATGATACAGAAGTGCACGTCAGTTAGCATCAGCCGCAGAGAAGAGATAAAAGGCAATCATGCATGATTTATAACGTACTGTAGAATAGACATATATTGTCACCATGGAGCCTATGCTATTTTACTTTTTTCTCTCCATTTGGAGCCTTAAATACACAATTTTGAGTAAGTCTACAGCACCTTCTGTTGCATTGTTTCTTTCTTAAGCTAATCTGAGTTTACTGGATGTACGTATTGTGTTGTGGGTCTGGCTGCAAACTAAATCTCCCATTAGAGACCTTGAGTTTGAAGTGGAGGCTCAACCAGCAGATTATACTTGTGTTTTTCCACATTTTTCAGTCTACAGTATTTCAAGCAGGAAAACAAACTTTTGCACCTGCAGTAATGTATTTGTTGTTGTGACCATTTCTTTAAATCCTACATTCAAAACAACTTATATAAATAACATATGTTCAAAATAAATTTTCAGCTGTTTTCAGCATTTGAATATCTACTGATATTTATTAATAAGACATATTTTGGTACAACATTTAAGCAAACTGTGGTACTTTGATGTTTGCAGTTTGTGGCACGATCTGCGCTGTATAAGTGTGCAAACCAGGATGCTTAATTGCAACTGTAAGGTAGCCACATCAATTACTTTTAGGTTTCTTCATAACTTGAGCATGTTAAGTAACTCTTTGTGATGGTGTAATGAAAGCAGGTAAATACCATACAGACGAGAGATTCAGTGCAAATCCTTACATTGTGTTAGCAGACTACTGGGTCAAATAGATGGGGAAAATGAGAAATACCACCAATGAGAAAAACCTCCAAGCATGTAGAGATATTTTGTCCCATATCTTAAAATGTGACTAAGTTGAGCGCTCACTGGGAACATCTTTTCAAAACGCTGGCTTCCTTTTGTCATTGTATACAATAAAAAAGGCAGCACTCTTAAGATCGCTCAGAGCGGCGTAAGTACCTAAACCGGGAACTGAAAAAATAAGATGTTCCAGCCTTAGTAAAAGCAAAGCACTTCAGGTTTTCTACAGCTACATAAAAATCGTGAAGCAGATGATGTGTTCAGGTATACAGTACAGTAAGGCTTTATTCAAAACTGCCTACTAATTTGGCCTAAATGCAGAAGTATGCAGTATGCAGAAGGCAAACAAAAGGATGTGAGGATGTTGTACTGATGCTGACTTTTGTCATCTTATTTTAATCAGGCAGTCTCTACAACTGGTGCAGCATCCCTGTGTCAGTGGTAGGCAAGGAGGAATACAACGGATTTGTCCCAAAAATATAACATTAGATTTAAGTTATGTATTTTGTTGTGTTTTCTTACTGACAGCTCGCTAAGGTTAACGCTGCTGTCTTAGAGATTTCCAACATTAATAAGGGTTATGTTTTTGTTATGGGTAGTAGGACAAATTTTGGTAGCTATAGGTCAAACGTTACATTTGTTACAGATCAGCTGTAGCCTTGTTCCCCTTAAACAAGATTAAATGAAATGTTAAAAAAATGTTGTAAAGTGGTACTTATATTTACTGCAATACCTACGATTTATTCTGCATAGGCTACCGCGGTCGGCGGTATGTAGTGGGTAGTTCCGAATACAGCCTATAGCCGCGTTTCCACCTAAGGAACTATATCCTGAAACTAGGAATCTTTGGAGGAACTCCACCGCAGGGACCAGGGTCTAAATGTAGTTGTAGGAGCTTTATTTTACCCCCCAAAAAGTCCCTACTCAGAGGGTTGTACTTTCCGAAAGTACCGGTACTTTCAGTGGGTGGGGCTTGCCTTGCAGTGAATTTCTGGAACACAGACGTGAGTCCTGCAGCTGAACTGCAGCTCTTGTCTGCTGAAATGTTTTAATAACCTTCCAAACTGTCGCAATTTTATTCTTGTGTTGGTTTCTCTGTGCTGGAGTCATTTTATGAACTTGATGGTTTTGTCCAGTTTGTTATTAAATTTTTAGTTTTTCATTATATTCCAATCAAATCTGATATTCGTTTACAAATTTTGCTCATGGTTAGTGGTTAATAAAGAGTGATTGTTTTCATTATAAAGCAGTTCCAAACACATACGTAAACTAAAAGGGTTGTAAAGATATATCTTAAACATTAGCCGTGCCTGTGCCCCACCATGGACTGGACACATAACTACTCTGGCTTTGCAGTTGCTGAATCAAATACAGTTTTTTTAAGATGCGGGACTTCAAAAAGTTAAATATATTATCTTGTGTGGGTGAGTGTGCTTCTGTGTGAGTAAGTCACACAAGCCTCAGGAGTTTTTGAAAATGTGGCACAAATTACTGTAAATACACCATCTAGAAAAAGAGAGACAGAGACAGAGATAGGGAGGAAGGGGGAGGGAGTATTAACTACCTTAGTGGCTGTCATACCTTTGAGACATCCCTGTTTCTGTGACTGTGTGCTTAGGATTTTTCACTGTTCTCACTGCACATCAGTACAACA